ACGCAGTCCGCGCGCCCCTCTTGCACCGCGGCCTTGAGCGCCGTGAACCCCGAGGCCGACTCGAGGTCGACGGCGGCGCGCGCGACGACGAGGAGGCGGACGCACGGCTCGTGGCCCTGGTGCGAGGCCAGGTGGAGCGCCGTGCTGCCGTCCGGTAGGCGTTCGTCCAGACCAGCGCCAGCCCCGCACAGTGCAGTCGCGCAGGCTGCGTGGCCGCCGATGCAGGCTGCGTGCAGCGCGGTGCTTCCATTGGACGTGGCGTGGTTGATCGAGGCGCCAGCAGCGAGAAGAGCTTGCACGCAGTCAGCGTGGCCCTCTCCGGCGGCCAGCAGCAGCGGCGTGCGGCCGCAGTTGTCTGTGATGTCAACAGGCGCGGCAGAGTCAACTAGTAGCGCGGTAAGCGCGTCGGCGTCGCCCGTTTCTGCAAGGTTGTGGATTCGCGGGCGCCCATCGCGCCCACGCGTGCCAGTTCTAGGCATGAAAGGGAGCCGGCTGGCGCAGATAGTAAGGTGCCGGAGTCGCCGTTGTAGCCCGCAGAATATTTGGCTGCAGCCTGTCGCAACAAATGGATTCCGGCTCCTACCAGATAGGGGGTCAGTGCCACGGTCACCCATTTGATTGTCACTGTCCGTGAGTGCGAGATAGGGCTAGCCGCAGGCAGCCAGCCCGTGAGGAGAGCGTCCATAGACACCTCACTTAGACCCCACACACGGTCTCGTCCGTGCCTCGCCGGCCGGAGAGATTGCTAGAGGTGGAGCATGCTGCTCTAGCCTCACATGTCACTTCCTGTGGTCTGTTGTTTGTTGTGCCCTTGTTTGTTTCTCTTGGCACCTTGGAGTGCTGGGGGGGGCGACAGGGAGGATGTGGCCTTGAGTTATGTGTACGCGAACTCAGGGTGTGTGGCAGCCAGCTGGCTGTGTGTCTTGTGAGCTTGTTTTGTGTCTGTGTGTCGCTCGTGCGTGTCGTCATCATCTGTCTTGCGTCCACCCATACCGCGTCGGTGTCCAGTCCGAGCCTGGCTGTTCTTCACCTTTCTACCTACGGTTAGACCCTATGCAATAGGTAGGTAGGTCCGGTTTTGACCGCCCCAGAGGGCCCCGCAATAGGTAGGTAGGTGGTGGTGTGGGGGGGGGGGGGGGGGACGGCGCGTTTAGCCGCGAACAGGGCCGTCCAACGCACAGAGGGCTCAACGGGTATTTTTCGCTTCGCTGCGCGGCCCCGCAAAATAGGTAGGTAGGTGGGGCACGGAGCCCTGGCGGTTGGCGCCCGGAATAGGTAGGTAGGTAGGGCGTTTTGGTGCGAGTCATGGGGATCAGACCCCCTATCTGGGTAGGAGCCGGAACCCCGGGGCTAGTGTGCGAAAAGAAACACTCGCGACTTTTTTTACCTGCTTCGAGGTCCCTTGGCATGTCTGTTTTCTTTCTTTCTTTCTTTCGAGGGCTCGAGATACACAAAGCGGCCAAGCCGAGGCACACACACTAGGTGCGGGGTGTGCCCCCCCGAACGAATATGTTGTTTCCCCCTATTTAACCCCTCCACGCTATCCACGCTCACACAGCACGACGAAGACGACGTGCACACTGGCATCGCGGATGGAGTGAGACGCATTGTGGGCC